CCCCCCCCCCCGCGTCCCAGAGCCGCCCCCCCCCAAACCGCGCTTTCTTCCTGAGGCTCTGTGCGGGAACCCGACTTCTACAAGCTTAGCTGAAGCTGCCTTCCGCGCCCTCCCGCCAGCGCGGACAGCAGAGAAACCTTCACCTCCAAAGGACCGGGCGACGCGGGGAGCGCGACTCCCGGGCCCGAAAACTTCTGACCACGCAGAATGCGGCCCGCGCCCAATTACACGGATCGCCCGTGCTGGGGCTGAGCGGAGCTGAGCCCCGGATCCTCCCGGGGACCATCACGCGGGGCAGCCCAGCTGTTCTTGGAGAGATAGAAATTAACCCAAATGCCCGAACTATAAAATTAAAGTTAAACCAGGCACCAGAGGCTCGTGCCTGCAATCCTAGCTACTGGAGAGGCTGAGTTCTGAGGATGGTAGTTCAAAGCCAGATGGGCAGGAAAGTCCCTGAGATTGTTATCTCCAATTACCACCCAAAGGCCCAAAGTGGAGCTGGGGCTCAAGTGGTAGAATGCTAGCTAGCCTTGAGCTAAAAAGTTCAGGGACCAAGTTCAAGCCCCACAACTGACAAAAAAAAAATTTAGGTATCCAAGATAAAAACATCATTAAGCCCAAGAAGAGATCATTAAGATAGTATCTCATATTCCTCCCAGCCCCAACCCAACACATACTTGTACACTCCTGTGTGTACCCATGGTTAGATACAAGTACATAGGATTCAGCTGCACCAACTAAACATCGAGTTATTTACATTCTCAAATATTTGTGCAACCATAAAGAGACAATTTAAAACACAGGTGAGCCTGGTGGCTCACGCCTGTAATCCTAGCTTCTCAGAAGGCTGACTTCTGAAGATCACGGTTCAAAGCCAGCCAAGGCAGGAAAGCCTGTGAGACTCATCTCCAACCACCAAAAACAAAAAAAAAACGGAAGTGGTGCTGTGGTTCAAGGCTCAAGTGGTAGAGCGCTAGCCTTGAGCTGAAGAGCTCAGGGACAGCGCCCAGGACCAGAGTTCAAGCCCCATAACTGATCAAAAAAAAAAAAAAAAAACCAATCAACTGGATACTGGTCAGCCCTGTAATCCTAGCTACTGAGGTGGCTGAGAGCTGAGGACTGAGGTTCGAAATCACCGGGGCACACAAATATTCTAGACTTCTGGACTCTTTATAGTCAATAAACTAGCAACATGCAGGAAGCGGAGATGTGGCTCAAGTAGTACAGTGCTAAGGCTAACCTTGAGTGAAAAAGCTCAGGGAGAGCACAAGTGAACCCCCAATACTGGCAATAACAACAAGAATAATTAGGATCAAGATAATTTTGTAAGACGGTAAAGAAAAGCACTATTTTTTTAAGACACTAGGTTGTAAGGACTAGAGATTATAAAGGAAAAGAGGAAATAGCTATCACATTACCAAAGAAATCACAGAAATTGTCAATCTAATTATGAAAAGATATGATAATTTAAAGAACCCTTAAAGCCCTCAAATGTTCCTAGATGGGAACATATTCTAAAATAGCTATGTAAAATTACTACACGTATGCTTAGAAATGTTGGACAACACTAGTTATTGTTTGTAAAACTACAAACAATATTGAAAAGTATATTTGACAAAAGAAAACATGAGAATAGCAAATCTTTTTTTTTCCCCTTCAATTATGGCATTGTGCAGATTCTCTGTGCTTTTTAGTGTCTTTGAATCACTGTATAACTCTGGTAAGCTCATAATAATTCATTATGAATTCATAATTCATTGTGCAACTGAGTCATGTAAAAAATGGAAGGTATTTCTTTCCCACCCCACATATGTTGTTAGCCAGCTTTGTATTGACTTACAAATTCATTTAAGTTTTCTTTCTGCTTTTATATTCATAGTTCTTTGAAAAATTTGTCCAGGCTGTGTAATGTCTTACTGGTCCCCTCATTAATGAGTTGCATAATCTCTCCATTAATTTTAATAAATACATCAATATTAATATATCATTGTATCAATATAATTTATATTTGATACAAATATGTATTTATATTTGTACATGCATATTTGTATATTTATATCTAAATTATATTTGATTATATATTGTATAATATATGGTATTTATATGTTACATATTTATATTTATATATATTTATAATCAAAATTATATTAATAATATATTAATCAACTAATGTATTACATCATCTGAGTCTTGAGCAGTAATGCTCAGGTACAGGGCCCAAATCCTGAGTTCAAGCCTCAGAACTGGTACATGTACACACAAAGTTATTTTTGTTTTCAATGGTCGTGGCTCTTGAACTCAGTGCCTGGGTGCTGTCCCAGAGCTTTTCTGCTCAAGGCTAGTACTTTACCTCATTGAGCCACATCTCTACTTCTGGTTTTCTTGTTTAATTGGAGATAAGAATCTCACAGGCTTTCCTGTGCAGACTGGCTTTGAACCATGATCCTCAGATCTCAGCCTCCTGAGTAGCTAGAGGATTACAGGTGTGAACCACCACCCCAGCTTAGAAAGCTGAAATAAGTATATGGCAAACTGTCCATATATTGAAATCTAGACTGGCCCAGAGTTTATGCTAACAGCATTGTCTCCTTCTTACCTGGGGTGGTATATATAGAGTCAGCCATCTGCTGATTGAAACTATTTGGAGAAAAACCACCCTGTGACACTATGTGTGCAGATGTCATGTCTTTGTCTTTATCCGTTAGAGTTCACAGCACACGGATTTCCTGCATTTACATGGGATGTGTCACAGGAGCCCTGGGGCCAGCCCTCAGGGAAACCCAGGGGTGGTGGCATTTGCTTGCTGAAATGTCCTGTACCTCACCTTGGTTTATTTTTTTTGTGCCAGCACTGGGACTTGAACTCAAGGCCAGGGAGGTTTCTTTTCGCTTTTTCACTCAAGATTGCTGCTTTATAAATGTTCTTCATTTATCGCTACAGCAAAGTCATGATTTTTACCTTTGAAAAGCTTATGCTTTGAAATAATCCAAGCACCCTTAAGAAAGCTAACCTTCCCAGAGATTCAAAGTCATCAGAAGCAAATCATAATGAAGATTAATTGGAGAGCACTGTGACCAGAGACAGTGCTTCCCGAGCACCAGCTTCTGCAGGTATGTGACGACGAGATGTCCTCCGCCTGCCTTTGCAGAGGACCAGGCTCTCCAGACGAACTCAGTGTCTCGAGCAAGCAGTGGCTGCCCCAAGGAAGGGCCCTGGTCAGACTGTACACTCCTGGGTGATCCAGAGTAATGACCTCAGTGAACAGGGTTCAGACACTCAGGAGCCTTCTCTATCCTGTGAAGGAAGGGCACCCCACTGGCACAAGGTTCTCCAGAATAGCAGATACTGGCTGTCTCTTGATGTGGCCATGTGGGTAAAGTCCGAGGGCATCTTCTTGTTCTCTGAATTCCCAGATGAGCAATTCTCTCCTTGAGGAGAGAACTGATTTGTTTGTTTTTGGTTCCTGACACAGCTCCTTACCTCCTGCTGGACAGTCTCCAAAAATTAAAAAATGATAACTATGAAAAAACAGGTACTTGTTTGAGAAGTCTTTTCCTTTCTCAGATGGAAGGATTAATGATGATGTGTGTTTGTCTCCCAGTCCTGGGGCTTGAATTCACAGCCTAGACACTTCCTGAGCTATTTTGGTCACCGCTAGTGCTCTACCACTTGAGCCATAGCTCCACTTCTGGCTTTTGTTGTTTTTGGTGCTTAGTTGGAGGTAAGAGTCTCATGGAATTTCCTGTTTCAAACTATGTTCCCTGAATCTCAGCCTCCTAGGGTTACAGGTGTGAGCCATTCGTGTCTGGCTTCTCTTTTTCCCATGGAGTCTTCCCTGATTCAAGGGGCTTCACGTATTCTTGTTTGAGCCACTGGTCAGCGTGTGGCCCCCTGAAGTTTCATGCATTCTTCTCTGATGGCTTTTATGTGCACGACTGTGTCTTCAGCAAGAAAAGTTGCTGCTTAATCTCCTTATGACCAGGGATCCTATTCACAATCCAAAAGTGCCTTTCCCAAGGGCTGCATGGGCCTGGAGGACAAGGTAAGCGAAGCCCCTTCCTTTGCTTGTTTGCAGTGTCTTTGTAAGGGAGGAGCTCTGCATTTTTTTGTATCAGTCCTGGGATTTGTACGCCTGGGAACTGTCCCTGAGCTTTTATGCTCAAGGATAATGCTCTACCACTTGAGCCACAGCTCTACTTCCAATCTTTTTGGTGATTAATTGGAGATAAGAGTCTCAGGGACTTTCCTGCTCAGGCTGGCTTCAAACCAAGATCTAGTAGCTGGG